TGCACAGGCTCCTTCCTCTGGAACAGGCGCCCTCCTCGGCTCCCCGAGCCTCTCTCCTCACCCGGCAGTGGGAATGAAACATCCCGAGTAGGTGAGCGGGTTGGTTTAACCACCCTGCTGGGTTGGTTACACCTGCAGAAGCAGAGTGTCTGCGTCAAAACTGGAGCCTGTTGGCTGAGGGAAAATTACTTGTGAAAAGGGTCTTTACTGCAGAAGACACAAACAAAATATTCCCGATTCCCCTGGTCCCTGCTCCTCCACGCTCAGAAAGTGCAGGTACAAGCTCACAGACCGTTGCTTTCCCTTCTTCAGTCCAACCTTGAAAGGAGAGGTGACTTTTGCCCTTTGCCCCTGGATTCAGCCTGCTGCTCATCTCCATTCCGGGAAAGGCAGAGGAGAGCATGGTCCCTCCTGGGGGGGTCCCTCCTGCTGTGAAACTCGGGGAGGAAAGAGCTTTTCTCTCCTAAGTTCCCATTTCCAATTATTTCTTCCCTTGCTTGGGGTATGGGCAGAGGAACTTGAGGTCTGAATGTCCCCTCTGTGCCTGACACTCAGAGCAGGCCCTGGCAGCAGGAGGAGGGTGTTACCCTGGACAGGCTCCAAGTCAGAGGCAAGAGGGGCCTTGGACCCACTTGGAAACTGCCAGGGCACGGGCCTTGGCTCATTTAGGACACTGCTTGCGCTCTGGGACCTTTATTTCCAGCTGTACAGGGCTCTTGTTCCAGCGCCACCACAGCACCTCCTTCCTAGACTGTCTTGCTCGAAGGTGGCCTCCACAACCAGCCCTTCCCAGGGGCTCTCTCCAGAACTGGGCCTCCCTGCAGCAAGCCAGGCCAAGGTCTTTTCTCCTGTTTCCCCTCTGCTGGTGTTTGGAATCTGGCATCGACCCATCCCCGCTGTCAGCTAAGACCAGAGAGACTGTGACCACCTCCCCTACCCTTCCCAATCCGATATATTCATGCGCTGAAGGAGCAGTTCTCAGTTTGTGTCACTGGGATAAAACACACAGCTCAAATGTGCGGCTCTCGCTAGCTTTGGGAGCGAAGAGTTGACGTACCCGTGGGAGAAAATTGCAGTCTCCGAGTCTGTGTGTGTTTTACTCTGCATTGTATATTGAGAGCGTTTAACCTGAGACTGCAGGAAAGCTCCATGAAAGCTCCATGCCCGAGTTTCCTTCAGCAGCGAGAGAACGGTTAAGTGCAGAAATCAAGGCAGGCAAGTGCAAACTCCCCCGTGGCTGTGCAGTGTCCTCCAGCTAATTTTGCCATACTAAGGGAAGGACAAATACGCTTTCCACATGAATACGCTCTGGTCTCATAACCGGCGTGATACTGATACGCATTCAGGAGAACTTTGCTGCAGTCAATGGAGTGAGGTGGGTTTACAACAGAGCCCAGACCTGGATGATGCGGAGAAAGCGAGTGCTAAACACAACTGGGAATTGTTCTTTTTCTTTCTCTCTCTCTTTCTTTCTTTCTCTCTTTCTTAGTCACAGTCTGTTACGTTTGGCCTCTGTGGGGGATGGAGCGCAGCAGCCCTACTCCTGCCCCCAGCCCCTTTTTGCCAAGTTCAGGCTTTCTCACCCCCTTCTCATTTCAGCCCTGCTTTTCTTTCACACTCTCCCTGGGGCGGGGGGTGAAGCAGCGTTTAACTCTTTCGTCCTTGTAGCAATTAGTCTGCGGCTTTGGAGCCAGCTGTGAGCCCCAGGGGGTGGCATCTCCCTCCGCGCCGTGTCACCCGGTGTCACCTCCAGAAAGCTTCCTGTGTGTAGGATTGTGTGCAAGGGGAAGAAAGTAGCGGAGAAGTTGTCATTTTTATTGTGGTAGCGGCTGGCTGTCCCTGCCCAGTGGAGGTGCCCTCAGACTGCTGGTGTGATGCAGTTCAGCATCCAAGCATCCAAATTAAAAAAAAAAAAAAAAAAGGCATGGAAAGAGTCCCTTGCTTCCTTGGACAAATTTGAAGGGCAAAATCTGCCAACTGCTCGGTATATTGATTCCAACGCATTATTCCTCTCCCAGCAGATCCCTACCCTGGGAAAGGAATAATCAGTGCAGGTGCAAATAGCTTTTAATTGCAAAAATGTATCTCACCATGGAGGCATTTAGGCTGGATGGGATACAATTGAGGCAGCAGCAGTCTGAAGATGACCCATAAGCCAGAGCACTGCAGAGGCAAAACTGCTCCTATACAATACATATGGTGCAGATATTCATGTATGGGATCCTCCACGCGTCCCTGAGGTATGGCACGGTACGATTATGTGAAGATTCAGGCATCATCTGCAGGGAATGTGCAGGATCCCTCTGTGACACGGGGCATACGTGAGAACAGGGCACTCAGTTTGGGCGGGAAGGGTGTGTGCGGGACCCACGCAGACCCGAGTGGCTGGCTCGGCTTGTGGCTGCGGGGGAGGCGCTGGCCGCGGGCTTGGTGCCGGCTTTGGGGCGATCTGGCCGGGCTTGGGGTGCGCAGATCGCGCCGATCTGCCCGGCCGCTGCGCGCAGCGCACGGCCCCGGCGGCTGAAAGTGTCCCCTGCCTCGAACGCCTATAGGGGGGCCTAAAGCGGCGCTTATAGGGCGCTTCCGCGCGCTCCGCAGGACTGCGCGCTCCAGGGATCACCCGGGAGCCGGCGAGCGCCTCCCTGTGCGGGGATGCGCCGCGTTTTATCGCGGAAGCTCAAGGGCGGATTTGGGCAGACGGAATCCGCGCGTGGGCCCAGGGAGGTCCCTTCCGCGGCGACACCCTGCGCCGAAGGCGGTCGCGGCGCCCGCGGGCAGGCGGGACTCACGGAACTGCGGCTCGGCAGCGAGAGGAGGTGGGGGGGACAGGTTCGCTCCCCCGGGCACCGATGTGACTCCGCGGCCGCGCCAGCAGATCGAGACGCACGGGGAGCTGCGGGCACCCTCGGAGCCCCCCTCCCCAGCGGCAGCTTTTAAAAATCATTACCATCATTATTTTCTTCTCCTGGTAGAAAAAAATAAAAAAGGAGTTTTTCCATGAACGCTCCTGTTTGCAAACTGTGAGTTTTTTTCCCGTAAAACTGCGCTTGGGAAAGGCGCGGAGGGACTCCGCACCAGGGAGATGAGAGGGGCACTGTTTTTTAAGTAGGGGGATGCGGGCACCGAAGTTGGCGGGGCGGG